TTATTTATTTATTACATTTTTTTCTTTATTGATTAAGGTATTACATATGTGTCCTTATCCTCCCACTGCACCCGCACCCCCCCTCGTGCCCTCACCCCCCCTAGTGTCTGTGTCCATTGGTTATGCTTCTATTATGCATGCAAAGTTCTTTGGTTGATCTCTCTCCCTTCCTCCTACACATCCCTGCCTCCCCTCTGAGGTTTGATGGTCTGATTGATACTTCTCTGTCTCTGGATCTGTTTTTGTTCATCAGTTTATGTTGTTTATTATAATCCACGAATGAGTGAGATAATGTGATATGTATCTTTTTCCAACTGGCTTATTTTGCTTAGCATAATGCTCTCCTGGTGCATCCATGCTGTTGCAAATGGTTAGTTTCTCCTTTTATACAGCAGCGTAATATTCCATTGTGTACATATACCACCATTTTTAATCCACTTATCTGCTGATGGGCACTTAGGCTGTTTCCAGATGTTATCTACTATAAATTGTGCTGCTATGAACATAGGGGTGCATATATCCTTTTTGATTGATGTTTCTGATTTCTTGGATATAGTCCTAGAAGTGGGACAACTGGGTCAAATGAGAGTTCCATTTTTAATTTTTTGAGAAATCTCCATACTGTTTTCCACAGTGGCTGTACCACTCTGAATTCCCACCAGCAGTGCAAGAGGGTTCCTTTTTCTCCACATCCTTACCAGCACTTGTCATTTGTTGATTTGTTGATGATAGACATTTTGACAGGTGTGAGATGGTATCTCAGTGTTGCTTTGATTTGCATCTCTTGGATGATTAGTGATTTTGAGCATGTTTTCATATGCTCATGTTTTCATATTCTTGGCCTTCTGTATGTCCTCTTTTGAAAATTGTCTATTTAGATCCTTTGTCCATTTTTTGATAGGATTTTTTAAATCTTCCTTTGTTAAGCTGTATAGGGTTCTATAAATTTTGGAGATTAAACCCTTATGGAAATAACATTGGCAAATATGTTCTCCCATGCAGTGGGCTGTCTTGTAGTTTTGTTGATGGTTTCTTTTGCTGTGCAGAAGCTTTTTATTTTGATGTAGTCCCATTTGTTTATTTTCTCTCTAGTTTTTATTGTCCTAGGAGCTGTATCGGTAAAGATATTGCTGCAACATATGTCTGATATTTTGCTGCCTGTAGATTCCTCTAAGATTTTTATGGTTTCCCATCTTACATTTAAGTCCTATATCCATTTTCAGTTTATTTTTGTCCATGGTGTAAATTGGTGGTCTAGTTTCATTTTTTTGCATGTATCTTTCCAATTTTCCCAATACCATTTCTTGAAGAGACTATCTTGACTCCATTGTGTTGTCTTGAATTCTTTGTCAAATATTAATTGAGCATAATGGCTTCGGTTGATTTCTGGGTTCTCTGTTCGTTTCCATTGGTCTATATGTCTGTTCTAGTGCCAATAGCAGGCAGTTTTGAGAACAGTGGCTTTGTAATATAGCTTGATATCTGGTATTGTAATCCCTCCAACTTTGTTCTTCTTTCTCAGGATTGCTGTGGCTACTCAGGGTCTTTTTTTATTCCATATGAATTTTTGGAGAGTATGTTCTAGGTCTGTGAAATATGCCATTGGTATTTTAATGGGAATTGTGTTGAATCTATTGATTGCTTTGGGTAGTATGGACATTTTAATGATGTT